AACCCTTTGACCAACTGGTCAAATTGGTCAAACTGGTCTGGTCAAGCTTGACCATTGACCGGTCCATGCCAACCCTGTATATAAAATAGCTTTTTAAAGACTATTAATTAGAGAATTAAAAAATTTATTCTAACAAATTGTAGTATAGATAGTTTAGAAGAATTTTTTTATCACGTAGAAATTTTTTTACTATGTAGAATTATGTGTTTTGAGATTTATTTTTCATAAGATGTTGAAATTTTTTGCAATTCAGTACTGTATATGTGCTTCCTTGTATTAAAATTTATTTTATATCATTAGAAATATAGTGTATATAAATGATAGATTTAAATCTAAGAAAAAAAACAAGCCTAAATCTATAAGAAAAAAAAAAAGCCTAAATCTATAAGAAAAAAAAAAAAAAAAGCTAGTCTATAACGACAATTTTTCTTTTTTTTCTATCTGATTCTTCGTCCAAATCAATTATTCGTTTTTCAAATTGTTTATTCTTTTCTTCCAGCCGTAAGATTTTTTCGTATAAAAATAAAAAGTTACAATCGGGCTCAAATTCGCGCTCAGGGTTGGCAAGTCCTTGCTCAGAGTTGTCATGTTCGGGTTCAGGGTCATGTTTGGGTTCAACGTTGGCATGTTCTGGCTCAGGGTTGTCATGTTCTGGCTCAGCGTTGTCAGGATTAGATTACGGTCTAATATACTGATACGTATAGTATTTTTAGTATACATATATATATTTATTTAAATTATAAAGAGTGCCTGAAAGAGAAAACTCGAGTCGGCAATTATAGTTTACATTTCCCGGTTCGAGGTTTTTTCTTTCCGGCACTCAAATAATAAAAATATAGTCACCGTAATTTTTTCACCGCTTCTCGGTGAAAACCTATAATATTCCGCGGCACAAAATCTAACACCGTAGTAAAAATTTTCGCGGTCTTTCATCCCGTAGTAAAACCGACTTGCATCTGCGTGGTTCCTGAAATGAACATGAGCATGGTTTAAAAAAAAAAAAATTATTAAAAATTTATAAGTACATACAACAAAAACCTATTATTGTAATAACTTACTTTTTACTATCAAATTTTTTTTTTTATGTGGATAAACGGAAATGGCGATTGTGACTTTAACCAATTTTCTAATTCGTTTATTCTTAAATTTGAAATCCCTCCGAACATTAAAACCGTAAATTCGCAACAAGGACGAAAACCTATTTACCATAGTAAAAAAAGATACGTTAGTTTGTCTCTTCGCAGTCAAAGAAGAACGTAAACGACTTCTTATTCAAAGTCAATTAGTAGCTTTGACAAAAAGATTCCTTTTCTACAAGAGGAGAAATCCTCCCGAAGGAGTGGAAATTGGATTGGAATTGGATTGGAACTCCCGAAGGAGTGGATTTGGAGTTGGAATTAGAATGGAACTCCCGAAGGAGTGGAATTGGAATTGGAATGGAACTTCCGAAGGAGTAGAGTTGGAATTGAAATGGAACTCTTGAAGGAGTGGAATTGGAACTCCCGATGTAGAAAGGTTGGAATCCCGAAGAAGTTTATAGTAGAAAAAAATAAGACTTTATTCCTACCTTCCATTATGAATGGTGAACGAAAGAATACCTGAAAGAATTGAAACAAAAAAAAGGTAAAAAATATAAGAGGGAAGTTGCAAGTAGTTTAAAGGAAAAAAATAAAAATAAAATAATGAAAAAGGGAGGTCGCAAGTGAGTTTAAGTAAAAAATAAAATAATGAAAAAGGGAAGTTGCAAGTGAGTTCAAAGTATAAAAAAAAAAATAAAAAAAATAAAAAAAATAATGAAAAAGGGTAGTTGCAAGTGAGTTTAAGTAAAAAAAAAAAATAATGAAAGAGGGAAGTTGCAAGTGAGCTTAAGAATAAAAAAAAAAAAGTGAAGTAAATAAATAACGACATTTCGCGTCTTCGTGTTTTGTTCAGATATATAATAAGTAACGTGATTTTTGATATTGATCTACATACTGCTAATGGTCTTCTAAAAAGGAAATTTAAAGTAAAAAAAAAAAAACAAGTTTACCATAATAAATTAATCATTATTGATACTCAGGACAAAATTCTAAAGGATGAAGAAGTTTGGTAACGCGCGTAATATTGCGTTATTCGGTTTCTTAATATATCGTCATCAGTTTTGACTTCCTGTCACAAGGAAATAAATGAACAATGTTGACAGTAAAGAATAAATAAAATTAAATGATAATTAAACCAATAGCTTACTAGAGTGCTAAGATTGACTTCTGCGATACGATCATCCGTTTTAATAATAATTTCATCTTTAGAATCGTCTTTACTATATATTTCTCCGAACTGTTTCCTTAAATAATTTTCAGTAGCTTCTCGTGATTTCATCTTTGTTTCCATCTTTGTTTCATCAATTTCCGTCAAATTATCGGAAAAACCTTCCGTCGTGTGTGTGAATGCTTCGTAACTATAGTAATTTGATTTATTGTTTAATGAAATTTGATATTTATCAATCGTTAACAAATTAAATAAAGTTTATGAAATTACTTTT